ATCATGCCTTGACCATAGTATATAACCACATAATCTCAACTTAACATTTCATTCAACACTTCAGTTACTATTCCTAAACCCATCATACATGCTCATTAAGTCCGACTATTGCGTAATATGAATCCACAAATCCTAACTCTCACCTTAGCCACAAAGCTTTTGGAATCTCTGAAACTGTCCTTCCTTGATTGACTTTCCAACCTCTAACACCAATTCTCTTTTGACACATATTATAAGTCCATAAGATTTCTACCAATTTTCAGCTCATTCCGAGCTCTATAATTCAACTAACCAATTCAACTCAATACACTTGATCATCCAATAAAACTACATTTAATATACTTGGAAAGACGTGAATAAATAACAAACTAGCCGTCCATTCGAGAATCCGACCGTTCATTATGAATTCAATACTTCCATGAACAGATCCACAAAATTATAGCTCGATCGGTATACTTATGATCCTCCAAATGAACCTTTGAAGTTTTGCCCCAAACTGTTTATGGACCAACTTGAAATGCAATTTTTTGGTTTGCACATAACTTCAATTTGTAATCTGTCAACTCCAGTAGCTTCCTTGCATCACGATCTTCCCAGAGTCAACTTAAACGCAATCTAGCTCTCTCTGGTTCGCCGGAAAATGGACACACGAAACTCCTACTTGCTGTTGTTAAATTCTAGATTTTCATATAAGGTAAAATCTGATGATTCTTACACAACAAGCAAACTTCACCACGCCTAAGTATAACCTCGATAAATATGATTGAAACTTTCATGGCTTCAGCAACATGTCCTCTGTCAGAAACAACAATAGCCTTGACCATACATGCTTTATTGTGATTGAAATCATCCTCCAAAAATGGCAGCTTGAGACTCGGATTTAAGATCGGAGAAGCTAGACAACGAGCTCTTTCCAACATTTTTATCGTACTATAGTTTCTATGGATTTGGTCGGAAACCCTCCGCGAAGTCAGCTGGTCGTAGACTCACTCTGCAAAGATCAGTCTTACCCATAACTTTCAGTCCATGACTCTGAATGATAAAAAGATTTCGACTATAAATATATCAGTGAGTTGATTACTTACCCATAAAGTTTCGTTTGATTCCGATATGTTTTTACAGTCTGTTTCTCTTCTTCTTCGGAACGGAACA